ATGGGTACAGTTACACCTGAGAGTCTTCAAATAGCCCTTGCCTTTTCTTTTATTGCAGAACATATTTCCTAGGCAAATAAATGAATAAAAATTAAATAAAGTATTAGTAATATATAATACTATGTATATAGCAGGAGAAAATCTTTAGGTCTGTGGAATGTTTTGAAATTTTCAGTCATCTCAGTTTTGAAGGGATGGTGTGTAGAACAGACTGGCCCTGCTTATTTTCCAGGATTTTCTTTCCTGTGATCTGTTGATCCACTTTGGGTCTGTTGCCTCCCTGTCCAACACAGCAGGCAGGTGTGCTCTTCAGGAAGGGCCACCCTCCTTCCTGAAAGAGGTTTTAACTTTGTGAATTTAAAATAGTTGGTTATTTTGTTGCTGTCTTGTGGCCTTGGAGACCAGGGAACTCCTTAATATGGTGACAAATCCAAACCAAAGGAGTTGGGTTACTACTGCAGGTGCGACAAATGGATTGCTTGCCTGCTCCCTTTCCCCATCTCCTATGCTTCAATTGCCTTATGTTGCATATGACTTCTGTCACATCACATGTGACATATATGGAAAATTCCTATGATAATTGGAACATGCTGTGAAGCTCATAATTTTATCATCTGTGTACTGAAGAGGCAACGTGGTCCAGGGAACTGAGCATAGGATCAGTACAGAGCTCTTTAGCTTTACTCAGTGTATATATGTTGACAACTTTGAGCATGGTGCTTATTTTCTCCATTTCATCATCAGTAAGTGATGATGAAGGTAGCTATTATAATACCAAGAAGTTCTGATGGTTTATTATTTAATAGTTGGATAACCTAGAGATTTAACTTGGGACTTGGGTTTGGGGGGTGAGTTACCTTATATTCCAAACCAGTCCAAATTCAGGTTTCTTTCTACTTCTGTGGTAATACATCACGTTTATATGCTTCATCTGCCATAGAGAAAGATACAGGTTTACAGGCAAATGGAAGTGATTTACTTTGTTTCCTCTCCTGTTAGCATAAACCAGTGTGGACCGTGATTCTGCATCATACATCTAGTCCCATGCTTTCCACTCAGGTGAGAGCTGTGGCTATATCCACCGACATTATGTGTCTGTTGATGATCAGTGGAGACTCAGCTCTGGAAGTAATTTTCTTTATTTAAGTTACAGTTGCTCTCCAGCTGTTCTCTGTAGTGAAGGACAGGACAGTGAGGTAAAAACTATGATAATCAGCCCTCTTGCACAGGAGAGTTGCTGGCATAGCAGTTGTTTCAGGTGTCTTACTGTTTGTGCCATGTTGCTTATTTAGGATAAGTTTGTGTGAAAATTATAATTTCTGAGATGAGAATGAAGAACAGAATGAGACTGAAGAAACAATTTAGAACCTGCAATTGGAAGAGGATCCTCGTGTGCAGTTAGCATGGATTCCATCCCATGAGGCTAAACCTTCTGATAAGACTTGGAAAAATTGCATTAGCTTAATTATATTTGGTCACTGGGCCAAATGGTTTAGAAATGAACACGTATACCCTGTCAGACAAAGAGGACGTTGTTATAATTAGACCTTGGGCAGAGTTCCAGACTGACTCCTGACCTGACCCGAACCACAGATGAGGCTGGGAAGCAGGAGGGGGATTGCCATGAGGAGCGAGTGTGCGGTTAGCTGCTGAAATGACCACAACTTGTTTGTGTTGTGCAAAAGGATAAAACAGTGTAACTGGGAAAAGCTGTGGGAGGGAGTTATGTGTAACAGTGGGCTTCTCTTCAGAGGCAGATTTCCCATTGATTCTCACTGGAGGTATATATAGAAATAGATACTTGCACATGTTTCATTTTTACGATTGCTTTACTTGCAAGAAGTTGAAAAGCAATAGAGCTTTTATTAGAATAAACCCCCCACCTTCTGTTATTTTCATAATTTTTATGACAGTTTTGTTATCAATTACCACTCAGAAAAATGAAAGATATTCTTTTCTTCATTTTCTTTGTTACCTCCCCCACCTCTCCCCCCTGGCCCTGTCCTTTGAAAGCACATTTTCGCCAGATTTGGTTTTTGACAAAGAAAAGGCAAAAGTGAGAGAAAGAAAAGGAAAAGATTATTAATTTGCAGGCTATTAGAAAATGTTTATTTTGTTTAAAACTTTGTCCACTGACAAAAATCAAGTTGTAGTTTATTCTTAAATAGCATAAACAATGCAACTTAAGTAAATGCCCCTCAGCATCCTGTGACTGGTAGGCTTAATCTTTTGAAAGGCAGTGCTCCCACTTAGAAATATCATTCATTCATTCTGTGATTCAACTCTAAAATACCTGTGCTGGCTTCCTCTAGCAGTCCTCAATTGTTCTTATTTTAAAAGCATCTAGACACCTGACGTATCTACAATTAGGGTCTTGTAGCAATACAAAAGTGCCATTTTACCCTGCTGTGTCAGTATGAATTTCCTGCATGCTGCTTATAGATGGACCTGGAAAATACCAGTGTTAAGAGTATGAGTTGTGCAATGGAATGATGCTTTGTGAAAGCAAGGCAATACAAGGCTGCTGTTCATGTGAGCTCTGCGTGCTTTTGCAGAGTAGTAAAAGCTGAGGAGCTTTGCTGAGTTTCTCAAGTATGGATCCCAAGGAGTGGATGCTAATTTTGTAAAAACAAACAGAGACAAGCAGTAACTTGTGTATTTTTCAGCATTATGGATGAAGAAGACCTGGAGACTGAGTGTTCACCTCTTCTGTGAACGTGCTTAAGATGAAATCTGAGTGATGAAATGTCAGTACAGGACAACATGTGGTGCCATGACCAGGGCAGTACTTACCCTGTAGAAAATGTTGGCCTTCATATCCACTCATGTAGTACTCATTTCCTGGTAAGGTACCTCTTTTGGAGGAACGCTTACCAAAGTCTTGACCTAAGCTCATAAAGGAAGATGTTATGGTCCTATCACTTCAATGTCTCAGCCAATTTTTCCAAGGAGGATTAATTTTCTGTCACCCAGAAAATGCTGGTCCTTTGCCTGTTGGTGAGGAAGCCTCTAGACAGTGAGCCAGAACTTGGTTACAACTGAATTAATGCAAATGTATTTATATTGTATGTAAATCAGTTTTGTCTTATTGATTTGAGTTCCTTCCAAAACAACGTTTTGTCAAACTAATGAGTTCTAACCTCATCCATGACCAGATTACCATAAAGGACATTGCACTCAGAGTAGTCCTTGAGAAGATGGTCTGTGGTGGACAAGTTCAACTTCTTCCGAGGCTCTCTTGTGAAATCTTTTAAGAACTGAATCTCTTAAGTCTCCACCACTGAGAGGAAACAGAGGTTGCTGTGCACATCATTGTGCTAGATTTGAGGGCATTTTGGTTTTGTTGACTGAAGCAGTGTCAGAGACTGGTTCCAGGGTTAAGTTGACCTTTGTCATCTCCCAGTGAGAATCCAGTGTTCTTATGAATGTGCTTTTGAAACCAGCATCACCCTGCCCTAGCGAGTCCTGCTGAGACATACCACCCCTTGCAGAGTTGGCATGGAGAGCAAAGGAAAGTGAGCATACCAGAAACGGTGCTTGGTACCCGCTCACTTTCCCTTCAGCTGTGTGACAGTTGCAGCTAATGCCCCTCCAGTGCATAAGAGAAGGTACTAGATAAATTAATCAGCAGGTAATTAATAAATTAATTGGCAGATTATTCCTGCCAAGCACGTACTGCCGCAAGGGTGGACACAAAATGTCACTGGAGAGCTTCTGTGTGCAGTATGCTAAGTCCCACTGCAACTCCTGTCCTAAAGGTGCTTTTCCTAGCACAGCTACTTAGTCTCTACGAGAGCTCAAAGCAGCCTTGTTTTGGCAGGCAAACAGAGCCAAGCATTGAGGGGCAGGTTAGGGCAGCAACTGCTCCGATGACAAAGCTCAGCTGTGTTGCTGCTGAGACAGCATCCAGCATCCTGCAGTTTGGTTCACCTGCCACCTCCCTCCCTGCTCCCCTGCCCTGTGCCCAGGGAGCAGGGCTTTAATTATTTACTCTCTGAGTATATGGCTTATTCTGCAGATTAAGTGAAAAAAGTGAAGTCCTTAAAAAATATAACACAAATAAGCCCCTGAGCTGTCAAACAACAAGTCCCTTAAAAGGGCAAAATATGCGGCTCTCCGCACTGTACAGATCCCTCCTTTCAAGCTGCTGGCAGGAGTCTTCCTGTTTGGATGGGCCGCTCACGAACGGTGTTGTGTGGTGAAATCAGTCACTTCCCAGCTCCTCCTTCAGGCCTCCTTTTGCCTCCCTTTACACTCCTGATACGAAAGCCCCTCAAGCCTGGGTCCTGTCAAGATGGGATCTGGCAGCTCAAATGTAAATCTGAGCGCATGCGTTAGCACTGTGCAGTTTCTCCCCTGGATACATAAAGCAGCCCAAACTAGTTATGTGTGTTTGAAAACAGGATAGACAAAACGGTCCTACTGTGATAGTCCTGGCCATAAAGGGATAAGTGAGTGTTTGGTGGTCTGGCTCCAGAGTGGTAGAAAATTGATTTCTCCTTCATTGTTTCATTGTTCATTTTATTTTGACCAAATGGGATACCTTTGGAGAATTCTTCCATTTATTCTGGGTAAATTCTCCAGTAAATGCTTTTTGCTTCTGGTACTTTGGTTCCTTTACTGTAGCAGTGAGAGAAAAGCCAATATTGGCATTCAATTGTAGCATTCAACCTTGGCTACTGAGCATTACTGATAAATCTACCTGCTGGGAAATCCAGCACCGAGTTTGCAAAACCTTTTCAGAAACTTTAAGGGAAGTGATTCTACATTGCCAAGAACATGTTAATACCATTATTCTATTAATACCAATGTTAAAGTTTAGCTACCTTGTCTAGCTTGAGTGTTTAATTTGCTCTTTCGTGTCTCCGATCCTTCTGTCCTCTTCCAGCTGTTACACCAGTGATAACCATTGTAACTGCAGAGAGCTGCACAGATCCAAGAGTCTTGATTATCACTTAATGTCTGTTGTTTTTGTGTTCTTTTTTTTTTTTTCCCTGCAGAACATGATCAGAAGATAGCATCATACACCATGATCATGGCCCCCCGGAAGAGGAATCGTCATGCGTTGGGATTTCTTTGTTGTTTTGGGGGTAGCGACCTCCCTGAAATCAACCTCAAGGACAATAACCCCCTCCAATTCCTTGAGTTTTCTGTACCAATCCCACCAGCAGAAGAGCTCAATGCCAGATTCTCTGAACTTGTGGTAAGTTTCTACTGGCAGATTGATACATTTTAGGGGGTGGATGAACTCTTCCCTTCAAAGGAGGAGTAAAGGGACTTAAGGGACTTATTACAGATAGGAGAAAATTGTCTATTAAAGCTTTTTTTTTTTTCCCTCTATGTTTCTATGACCAATTTCTTGGTGGGAGAAACATGGCAAATGACAGGATGGATGACAGTGGCATTGGGTATAAGTACAACAAAATGCTTAAATATGCTTATTTATTCTCACAGCACTATGCAATTCTCCAGGTGTAGGATCGTTTGTATTAGAAGGAACCTCTTAAGTTCTCTAGAGGACGAATCCTTGACAGTCAATTTCTTGTTAACAACTTTGGGATAAAATCTGCTGTATAACACAGTACAGTGGAAAATCTTAGGTTTTATGAGTCTATAAGATAAGGACTATACCGTTCTGTTGATGAGTAGCATACTGCTGGTGAGGTATAAGAATCAGATGACCATACTAATTATGTTTTGTCAGCCAGCTGCCTCTGAACCGTGAAACGGTGCTGTTGCAGCAACAGACATAAACAGGAAGGGAAGCAGTTATTTTAGAAGAACTTTATTGCTTGCTTTTGTGGTAAAATGTTGCATATTCCAGTAGCAGGCACTTGCTATTCATGCCTGGCATCAAATGACTTTGCTATCTTTGCCCTTTTGTTGAGCCTGCATGCAAAATCCAGGCAGAGGTCATAGAGCTGTGATGTTTTGCAGTCTGCATCATAAAGGTGATGCCCATTTGATGCAATTGATTAGCTAACTCATTACCGCTCTGAGAACAGAGGTTATATTAAGTGAGGTAAGTGTACATACACCCGAGTGGTGCTATTGAGATGAGGAACAAATCGTGGATCTCAGAATTAAAGGAATTTGCTAGTAATCTTTCTACGTTACGCTTACAACATTAGCCCAGCAAGTTCTTGTCCATTTCCATGGCTCCAAAGTGCTATAGCAATGAAAATAACCATATAATTTGGGTATGCAAGTGGAAGTTAACATATGGGCAGCTATAGTATGTCATACCAAACATAGAGACAGCTATAGTTTGTCAGATCAGTGGTCTGACAACCTGCCTCAGGCTTCTGTTTCAGGATGGGTTCCAAAGCAGATGCCTAGGGAAGAATATAAGATGTAGCCATAGGGTGGTCTCTTCCACGATACTCTCCAACTCTCTAACAATTTTCAGCTCAAGGACTTCCTCAGCCAAAGTTGCTTTCTGCTTACATAGTAAATTGGTATGTATTTCTTTTCCATCAACTATTTCCACCTCCCCTAGCACCCATGACAGTTTTTTAGCATTTACAGTATTCTATGGCAGGAGTATGAAAAGGAGTCAATAAGATTTGTAGCTGTTTCAGGAAGAAGAGGGTGTGCAGCAGAAGAGTCTACTTCCTTCTGACTAAGTAGCACATGAGGAATCTCCTCTTACAGAGGTATCTCACAAAATCATGGTTTATATTTAAAAGTCAGTTTGTCTTTTGTGTGAGACTACTTGAATTCCTCTTGGAAAGGGTAGCTGGCTGACTGGAGAATTCTGCTTGGTGACAGGTATCTCTCATGAGTAAGAGTGTTATCTGCAATCTGCTCTGCTGTCAATTTATTTCTGAATGCTGCTTAAGTATTGGTTTTCACATGCAAACTTTAATTGCTGTATCAAAGTTCACCTGTCTCCAATACCAAGATCCGTTGAAGCATTCAATCCAGCCTTCCTGAAGACATCACCAACAGATGTGCTTTGCTCCTAAACTTGGTTTGCTAAAACTTGAGCTTGTTTACCTTCGGGTCATAGTAAAAAACCTGTTTTAGTTGCTCCTGGGCTTTTGCTTACTGAGGAGGGCATCAGTTTCCATGAGGAGTTTGAGAGTTTGTAGGGGTATTAAGGGTGCTTTTAGCTTTTTGTTTTATGTCTGGCAAATACCAGTGTTCCATGTCAGTGTGGCAAAACAACTCACAGCTGCCTTATGGAAGTTTATTAAACAGTATAATTTATAAAGTTTTTGGTGCAAAATTTAATGGCAAGCATGTATGATGATCTGTAAACATTTTTTGCCCCAGATGTTTGTGAGTTGTTGGTTTACGCTATAACTCACTAAATGTGCTGACAACCTGTAACTGACGTATACATTTCAAACAAATGAAACCATTGAAATGAAAATAGATCATATTCCTGTTCTTGTATTTAATGATAGTAGCCTAGCCATCATTACATGACAAGTGGGCTGGGAGAGAAAAGTTCTATTTTTCAGAAGGTTAATGGTGTGTATTACACATTTTTATAAAACACTCTGAGAGGATGGGATGCTTGTCCATAGGAGTTCCTGGGTAGGCAGGTAACAAGAGACCAGTTAAGGGCTTTACGAGTGACAGAACCTAGGCTACAAACCAGGCTGGCAGAATGCAGAATTTGCCTAGAAGGGCTAGTTTGCCCACAGGTCCGGATTAATGCATGTTCTACGAGACACTAAAATAAAACAGGCTACATCTGTATTGACGACTCAGATGAGATTTTAATTGGATTAGAAAGATTCAGTCTGTAAATGCACCAGTGTAAATCAGCGACCTGGAAGTGCCTGAGAGGACTCTGTGCTGTGTACCGACCTCCCTGCTGCTTATCCGTCAGGGTCTAGTCTGGGTGCACTTGTACTATATAAAAAACAGATTGGAGTGTAAAGCCTTTTGACCCAAATCCCCAAGTGAAATGATGACACCAACATCATCTGAGATCTGTAGTGAGAAGAGCATTTGTGTTAGCTCCCTGAAGCAGGCCCAGAGGGTATAACCTCATCTTGCCATCTGCTCTACAAAGGGTGTAATGAAACATTGGTGTGCTTGAATGAATTTTTAAAAGCCTGATTTTTCCCCTTGTTGCAGTTAAAATCTGGGGCATTTTCCCACAGAAGAGTTAATGGCAAGAAGAGTTCAGCCTAGCTGTGCTGGAAAAGCCTCCCTGGTGATGAATTTTCCAGTCCAGTAAATATTCAGTATGTTTCTACCTGCCTTTCTGAGGAAAATGGACATTTTGAGGGTCAGAAGCATGTCTTCTCTTGTTCTTGTGGTCCTTAAATTAATATCATGAAAAGTGAATTCGGAGATTTCTATTTTGCAAGAGAACGAATTAGATTGAGATCCTTCATTTGTGATGAAGACCCCTCCAGAGCTTACAAACTTGCCTATGTAGACTCCAAGCTCAGACAAACACACATCTATGGGCTGCTTTGTTTGGGGGATGCACCCAGACCAACCAACAGAGTAACAGCAGCTGCCTAACTGGACTCTGACCAAGGCAGTGGTTGTCAAATGACAAGTTGATGCTGATTTCAGCTGAAATATCTGCTCTTGATGCCACTTAACCAGAAAAAACAGTTCTAGGATACATCCCAGGCTTTTGTGTTACTTGAGACTGGATGTTGTGTTTAGGCCTTGTCTCCTCAATTAGAAAATTAAAACAGAAATGGTTACTCCTGATACAGGCCAAATTCAGTCTTGATTTATTTCATTGGGTACATGTGCAGAGAGTAGGTCTGAATGAAGACTATGGCTCAGGGTAATTTGGTCTGATTTTATTTGGGCTAAGACAGAGGAAGACGTACTGGCTCTCAGGCTATCTGCTGACAGTGATTGCTTGGGACAAACGCAGTGGTAACAGTACAAGTCCTTATCGGAAGTCTAGATGCAAAAGACACAAAACAAACAAAAGTACTTCTGATCACAAGCTTTACCGCTCCAAGGGCCACTTTTGTGCACCCAACTGAAAGAGGGCAGAATGGCTGGCTTTAGTGTCTCTCCTTCAACGAACAGGCAAGGAAGGAAATCCCTAGAGAGCAGGGTGTGTGGAGTGGTCCTGTACCTCATAAATTGTAAAATTGGCCCTACCTGACCATCAAGGCTGTTCTAGCCAGCATCCCTTCTGCTCTTTTCCTCAGTCTTTCTTCTCAGCTGGCACTGTGTATACTACCAAGTAGCAAAGTGTTGCTGCCGTTGGTGGTTTATTGGCGGGCACCAAGCTGGTTTTGTGCTGGCTGACGAAAATGGCTGTGCTAAGCACATGTGTTTTTCCTTGTCCAGATTTATTGACTGAGCAGGAACTGCAGAATAATCTGGAAGAACTATTGCAAGACAAGGGGAAATAATTTGTTTTGTGAAACAGCTTCTCCATGTCCTTGTTCATATTTGTTACCAGCGGTGTGTTCTTGTCACAGTGGATTTTTATTCCTTTTGCTCAATATTAGAGTCCTGGACTCTTCTTGTTGGTTAAGGGTAGTGTGCTGCTTGACCCTAAAGATTTTGCCATCTAGATCTCTCTTACGTCAGCAACCTGACACCAGGTGTGAACTCAGACCATGCCAAGAAGGGTAACTTAAATGTTGGCAATTCAGTGAAAGCAGAAAAATGTGAAGAATGCTAGCACAGAGGAAAGATTAGTGTAAAGACTTTGTGCTTTTGTTGTTTCCCTTTTTGTTTCTTTTATTGTTGGCTCTGTTGAGATGGCCATGGTATTTGAGAAGGTGGCATTCAAGATTGTCTGTTTTAGGATGGAAGGTCCATGGGAAAGAAGTGGGGGAAAGGTGCATGGGAAAGTCTTTTGAGTTGCCGTTTTCAAAGCTGATCATATTATTATAGACTCCAAGCTTGAATGAGTTACCTGCACCACATTAGATTTTTACACTGAGAAAGATTTGAGAAATGCTTACTGTTACCCGTTCTTAGTCTCGGCTGCCTTTGAAGCATTCTGGTATTTAGCTCAGGTGGGACATTAACTGGATTCTTCTGTCATGGTTTGTTTCTCTTATGTTGCATTTGAACCTGTTTCCTTTTTTAGTTTTGGTTTGGTTTTTTTTCTTTTTCTTCTCTTACCTCAGAGTTTTGTTGACTTTATAGATTCACAAAAGCTTTTTATCCATATTACTCTTTACCGTCCTCCCAGGCTTTTTCAGAACAAAACTTTAGATCTTATGCTGCCAAAATATCTATTAAGTTACA